TTGGCATCTTCCAGTAGGTCCAAAACCTCTCCATGAGCTTTGGTGGGATCTGTGCTGCCCAGTCCCTCCCACCAGAATATATCTGGAAAAGGCCACCTGGAGTGGGAGGACCAGCGGTGCCGGGGCCGGGTGATCCAGTGCCGGAGCTCCCTGAGCATCTTTCCAGCCCAGCTGCTTTGTCAGCTTGGAGCTCTTGGAAAAAAGAATGGGATGATGTTTCTGTAGCGGAGCCAACCTCTAACACACTCAGCTTGGCTGCAGTCCGTGCGTGGGGCCGTGGTCAGCCTGGAGCTGGAAGCAAAATGCCTTTAAACGTGGATCTAAATTAGATCTCAGTCTAAATCTGTGCTGGGGGGGAGCTCAGGGAAAGGAGAAAACCCCAGTGACTGCTGCTGGCTCCAACTGCAAGGATTCCTACATCTATATTTTTATATCTGGGTGTGTATAAATAAATTGCAAAGGTTTGTCTATACTGATGTTTGATGGATCCCAGATTTTATGGGCTCGATGAACCCAAAGACATTACACAGTGTAGAATCCCAGAATGGTTTGGGTTGGGAGGGATCTTAAAGACCATCCCATTCCACCCCCTGCCATGGGGGGTTGCTCCAAGCCCCGTCCAACCTGGCCTTGGACACTTCCAGGGATGGGGCAGCTACAGCTTCTCTGGTCGTGGCAAGAAGGAAAGGCTCTGATGTGGCTCCTGGTGCCATCATATGATTTTTTTGGACAGACACACCGTCCTCTCTTGGTTTGTGGGAGACTCAGGGACTGGATCTGGGCATTTCTGCCCTTTCTTTACATGAGTGGGAAGCCTTGGGGGGCACCCCCCCATCTCACAGCCGTGTCTTCCCAGAACCAACCCCCATCCTCCCAAAATATCCCCTCCACAAAGCCCAGGCTGCCCTGACAGTGTTCACAGGGCGTTGCCTGTGAGCCTTCCCACTGAATTAAATATAACACTTGGGTTTGGGGTGGGATTTTTTGGGAAGGAAATCTGTTGCCAAGCAATAGAGCTGTGGTCTGGCTTTCTCGTCCCAAACTGAGCCCTAAAAGCGTCTGCAAATATCTGAGACGTCTGCAGTGGGGTCACAGGAGGCTGGATCACAGGAATGTGGGGGAAAAGCTGCTGCTGGGGTTGGGAGAAGGTTTCCCTTTCACTTTCCAGTGGCTGCCAAATTGAAAGTGGAGAGTTGTTTGGTCCCAGACGCTGCAAGAGATATGGAAGATCCTGAGTAATCCCAAGGGGTCTCACAGGGAGGGCAGCAGCAAAATTTCCCTATGGATTTACACTTGGCACATGCACAGTCTCCTGGACACTGTCATGCAAAAACATTGGGTTTTCCCCCAAAATAAGGGTGGGATCAGCCCCGACACGGAGACGTTGACACTGCAAACTGGAGAATGAAATTCCACACCCACTCCTCAATCCATGGCAGGTGTAGGTGAATGAGGGGGTCAATACTGACCCACATCCACACCTGGGGAGCTGACAGTGCCCATTTGCCTCCTTGGAAAAGCTCCAGTGGGAATGACGGCACCGATCCAGTGACTGACCATCCCGGCACCGACGAGCGTCGTCTGCACCACAGCCCTGGGTGGTGGCCACAGTTCTGCTCCAGGCCCAAAACAGACCTGCAGGAGAGTTTCACCTCCCAGCAATCCAGAGGGGTATGAAGTTTTCCTGATGTTTTCCCCAGCTGTCCAGCTTCGGAGGGAAATCCCACCGGCGTGCTTTCCTCATTAACCGCTGTCACATTTTCCAGGCAGTGCCAGGCACTGATTTGCATCACCAGATCACAAGGATGTGACCTAATTAAATTTCAGCTCTTTTCAATATGATTTTCATACTCACACGGGGTGGGTTGTTTTTTTTTTTTTTTTTTTTTTTGGGCTTGTGGAACCAGCTGTCCCGGCAGGGATGTTTCAGGCTTGGAATGGAAGAGGAGAAAACATCTAAATTCCCACTGGGAGCGGCTGCAGAGGCGAGCTCTGGAGTCTCTCCCAAGCCTTCCTCTGCTCCCAAAGTTTGATTCACAAGAGTGAATTTTTTTAACACTTATTGCAGACTTTTTATTATTATTTATGCAGAGGGGAACACGGTCCTCCCACCCCTCCACCCGTACAGGAGGGGTGGATTTAGGGCACGCCAGGAAGAGGTGGGAGAACCTGGGATGAACAAGATTCCTCCTGGACCAAACATCCTTCCCAGGGCCTTACAAGACGCCTCCAGCCAAGACAGGTCCCATCAGACCCCGTCAATGCTCATCAGCACAAGGCAAATCCAACCATTCCTCGCACCCAGACCTCCCCAGGAATCTTTTAATCCCTGAAAAATATTACTTTGAGTCTTAGTTTTCCCTGGGAAGGTCCCACTCGCCAGTGAGGGTAACGTGTTTCCCAGGAGGGTATTCCAGGGGTTTTTTTGGCTGAACAAGCAGGATACCCTGCATTTTCCCGTTGCCATGGCGAGGGGGAGAGCTGGGATTTTTTGTGCATGGGTTGGTGGATCCGGCCCGTTCTGCACGGCTGGTTTGCCCTCCCATTAATTAAGGGCATTCTTCCCTTCCCCTCGCAATTAGCAGAAAGAAAACCCAATTAACTCCTGCGCGGTGGGCGCCGTCAAACCCTCCCGCTCTCCTGGGGGAAAAATCCCGCTGGCCAAAGACATTGTCCCGCTGAACACGGACCCACACTGGTTCCCAGTGCACTCCATGGCCACGTGTTGCCACCCCGTCCCTATGGAAGCTCCTGGTTTTCCCTGAGTGAATCGCATTCTTGGCTTTGCCAAACCCACCGATGGCAGGGCTTGGCTGAGAAATTGGGAATTTTGGGCGGAAAAGGAGATTCCTTAAAGTTTTCTGGACACCCTCAGGCTGGTGCCTGTGTGTCCCGATTCCCACCACTCCCAGGCTTTACTGAGCATCCGGAGCAAACTCAGTAGGAAGGGCACCTCCACTTCTCCTGCCTCCCTCAGCCTCTCATCCTCCTTTTTTTTATGGCTGGAGCCCTTTTTTATGCAGCTGGAGCACAGGGTTCTCTCCGTCCTGCCCCAGCATTCCGGCCCCAGCGGCTCCGCCTGTGATCCCTGCCATGAGGAGCAGCAGGAATTACCTGTTCCTGGACTGCTCCAACTTGCCCTGCCTGGCTCAGGCTGCTCCGAGCAGCTCCCCGGCTACCCCTGGCCTTCCCAGATGGATTTGGGTCCTGCAGGACCAGCCTGGTGCCCGTGGCAAGGACGAGCCGTGCTCATTCCAGTCTCCCAAAATAAATATGGGAAGACCTTCCTGATGGGACAGGATGGCAGACAAGGAGTGACTTTTGATACAGTCTGACCTGGCTCCTGCTGGTCACCAAATCCCTGCAATTTGCCCCAGGATTTGCCCCTGGAATTCCCTGTCACTGCCTCAGCAAGTTGAGTTTGCCTGACATGTCATTCCAGGGGATGCCTTGGTGGCCTCTGAGCAGGGACATGACTTGGTAACTTCCAGCTACCATCCGATATTACTCCCTTGCCTCCACTGGCTTCCCCTGAATTTTGGTTTTCCAGAGGATCATCCCTGCTCTGGCTGATTTATCAGCCTGCAGATGACCCAGAGCAGATCCGTTGCTCTCCCTAAACCTGGAATTGCCCAAAATCCCAAGTGCCAGCATTACCACACTTTCCTTTTGCTATTTTAACCCTAATTAGGTGTTTGTGGCCACTGCATTGCGGTTGCTGCGTGTCCCCTCCAGCTAGATTGCCCTGACAAGTTTGGCAGCAGGATGACTGATGTCCAGAGGATTTAGGGAGCTCACTTCCCACTCATTTCCAAGGAAATGAGGCCTTCCAGCTGCTCTGGAAAAGCAGGGCAGGGATATCAGAGGATATCCCTGTGATGCTCCTCTACCCTTGTGGGGCTGAAACCCACATCCACAATCCCTTTATTGGGCATTTCTGGTGTTTCCCACCCACTGGGAACCTCCAGCTGCTGGGAACAAAAATCTCATCCCCTTCCTGAGTGTCTCACCCCTTCACCTCACCTTGGGGTCCCTGTTTGCTTTAGAGACCCCCTGTCCCAGGAAGGGCAGGATCCAACCCTGAGGATAACAGCCAACACCAGCAGCTAAAGAGGCTCGGAAAGGGCTGCACTAGGACATGTCTGGCTGCTCTGAAATTCCACAGGCCATCAGGAAAGGATGATTCCATGGTTTGCTAGTGGCTATTGGGTGGGTTTAAAGAGCTGCTGATCCATTTGGAGAGGTCACGGTGCGGGATACGGCCCCTTCCCATCACTTGGGCATGGACAGAGCAGCATCTGGAGCATCCTGTATCCCGAGGAGAGCTGGAAGTTTGTCCATGGAAGGGGTGAATCCCATAGCCCCCCACGCCCATCCCCAGGGCCACCCACATCGCTGCCACAAGGGATTACACCGACCATCCCGAACATGATTCCAACCCCATCCATCAGTCCTGCCAATAATCCCTTGGGACAAAAGACCCCGAGGGCAGCTCCCACCCCCGCCTGTAATTCCTCCCCTGCTCCCTAATCCCCAGCCCTTCTGTCACAGTGGCCAAATCCAATTAACTGTGCAAGGATCACACTCCACCCTCAAAGCCCAGCGAGTGCTCAAATGGAGCCACGAGGTCCCTTGGGATGGATGGTGTGGGATGGCACCACTGGGGGTCAAGAGGAGCCATCCCTGTCCTTTAGTGGGCTTTATTCCCAAAAAAAAGGACCTTGTGGGAGCTGAGAGGTGCATCCAGGCAAGGTGTGAGGGAGGGGAGGTGGTCTGAGACCTGTGCCTGTTATTCTATCTGAGGTGACTCTTTTTCCCATTTTCCCAGTTGGCTTGGTTGTGGTACCAGCTTCCAAGACCCCATTCCAAACACTCACATGGGTCCCACTCAGCCTCCAAGACCTAATATCTACTTGCTCAGGGTTTTCCATGAGCCTCTGAGCTCCATTTTATGTCTGGTTGCAGAGGAAGATGTTCTGGTCGTACTCCTACCTGGCACAGGGAATGGTGGGGATGGGAAGGATGCTCTCCAACCTGGCCACGACCCCCAAGGCCACAGAACTCTTTTCCCATGATCCAGTCTGCCAAAAAAAAAGGGCTCATGATGGAGGTACCACAAATTCAGGACAGTCCTGGTGAACCCCCACCAGGACCAGGGTGCAGCCAAATAAACACCCAACTGTTTGGATTTGCAGCCTTTGCCAGGATGAACTTGAGCTGCAAGATCAGGATGTGAAATCAGGTATTTTTGGGATTGTGAAGCTCATGGGACAGAAAGAAGGAGGGAGGCAAGAGGAACTGCAGGGTGCGCAGGTACTGGGAAGGGAGTTTTGTGGGGACCACCAGGGATGTGCCAGCAGGGAGATGCTGCTTTTCAGGGCCTAGATCAGGGGAAAAGGTGAATAAATGATGGTTGGCCCCAGGAGGCCACAGAAGGATCAGGAAGCACCTTAAATCAGGGGGAGAAACACGTGGAGGTGGAGGCTGAGTCCAAGGGGACGAGATCCAACCGGCAAGGGGACGGCTGAGGGTGGCACGTCAGCAGCTGCTTCAAGACCTGAGCTAATGTTTAGCTTTGGACTTTGCCCAATTGTCCAAGGGGCAAAGGAGGAGGAGGACGAGGGCGGGAGATCCGTGAGGGGCGGAGTGTGGCCAGGGCTGTGACTCCTGCAGAGCTCGGAGCAGGGTGATTCTGGGTGTAGTTCCTACCAGTTTGCTCCTGGTTCAGCAGGACATTCCCTGACCAGGCCTTGCTGAGCTCCTCCCTTTAGCTCAGCTCTTCCTGATGTGTTTTATTCCCGACACACCAGGCTCCAGAGGGGTGTTTGCAAGGGCTGCAATGAGAGAACACTGTCATGGGAACACCATCATGAACAGGGTGAGGAGCCTGGTGGCACCACTGGCAAAGCTGCGAACGTGTCCCCAGCACTGGCACAGGGCTGAGCACTTCCCTCTGGCCTGGATAACCCACCCTGGGAGGTGCCTTGTCTCTATTTAAACCCCCCTCTCCCGGGATGTAATTAAGGACGTGCCTATTAATTGCTGTGTCAATCAGCTCGCCCCTGTCACCACCGGCGCTCCCCGGGCAGCTCCTGTTGGACCACGGCCACGTGTTCCCTCTCCATCCCCATCCCCTTCACCCTGCAGCATCCCAAGCCTTCCCATTTTGAGTTCTACCTTCCCAGGCAATTTTGCACGGCAACATTCTCCAATCCCAGATTATTCTAATGACACTGTGAAAGAGCTAAAAATAGGAGCAAGGCATTTTCTGCCTCTCCCCCACCAGCCGCTGCCGGGAGCGCGGGGACGGCACCGGCAGCGGGAGCCTCCGAGGTGTTTGCAGGGAGCGTTTGGAGAGTATCACACCTCCCCTTTCCCTTCCCAGCCCTGGATCTTTAAATATCTGGCCCAAATCCACACGAGCCTGTAGTTGCTTAACTCCTTCCTTGCACTCAAATCCAAAGGAAACTGGGCATCTAAAAGGGTTTGGAGGAAAGGGGGCGGGAGGGGTGCAAACACTGCAGGAAGCACCGAACCTGCAGGAGTGACTCAGTCACGGTGTGGGTGGTGGGGATGGGGTGGCTGGGCTCTCCCGGCTTCCCTGGGGACCTCCTGGCTCCTGTGGAAACCTCCCAGCTCCTGTGGGATTCACAGCACCCACCTGCCCTATCCCACTTGGTTTCCTCTCCTTCCCCTCCTGCTCTTGGAGGTCTCAGGGTCCTGCACGCGCTGGGAAACACTGTGGGAAGCAACCCCTGAATCCACGCTGCTCTCCCAAAAATGCACATCCCACAAAAGTGATGTATCCCCCCTAGAAATGAAGCCCTCCCAAAAAAATGATGCCCTGCCCCAAAACCAGCCATGCTGGATTTAGCACCTGTACTGCTGGGCTGGGCAGGAGGAGCAAAACCGCTGTCACCAACAACTTTTTCCATGGCTTTGGACCAGATTCCAAGAGTCTGCACTGGGAATGGGTCCGTGCATCATCCTGGACATGGAAGTCGGTGCTGGAATACAGGCATGGATTCCTAGGGGGTGGCAGGGGGCAGACAGAGACACGTCCATCCCCAGCAGGGACACAACTGTTTTCCTCTTGGGACACACAGATCCTATCCAGAGGGGAGTTAATCCCCGGCTCCAAGGCTCTGGGGCCAGGATTCTGCTGACGTGGAGCTGGAGGCAGGATGGGCTCCGGAGGCCGAGCAGAGTGGGAAGAGTAGTCGCTGGGAAGAGAAGCAGCTGGTTCCTGGCCCACAGAGGGGAACAGAAACGCCGGTGAGCCGGTGGCTGCCACGCGCCCGGGACTGCACTGGAGCGGAGCAGAGACGGATGAGTCAGAGGTTTCGGGCACAATGGGAAGCGCGGGCTCAGCAGGGATGGGGACATGCAGGGACAGGGACACGCCAGGATGGGGACGTGCCGGGATGGGGCCTCAAGGCTGCCCTGAGCAAACCCTCCTCCAGGGCAGGGTGAGGAACAGCGGGGAGAAACGGTGGCTTTTTTTCCACCTGGTCACCGGGAGAGGAAGGAAAAGGGTGAACTCCTGGCAGTGTGCAGGGAGAGGGCCCTGCCACGTGTCCTGCCGGCAGCCGGGCAGGGGGATGTCCTGCACTCCTCAGCCGGCCCTGGCAGGGTACCAGGAACCACATCCCAGCTCAGCCAGAGCCGTCTCCAGCCCAGCTGCTTCCCCAAGGCCACTTCCCTCCCGCCCACTGCTGCCTCCTCACTTCCGCAGCCTTTTCCTTTTTATAACTAATCCCCAAAACCAAACCCAGAAGTGCAAGAGGAATAAAAAAGCGCCCACGGCAAAGCAGGAGCTCTGTTCTGCCACCTGATCCGTCACCCCGACAAGGCCTTGGCTGCCCCCACATTCCACATGGGAGCTCATGAGGGCAGAAATAATGGGCACAAATAATTACAGGCCTGAAGATGGAGGTGCTGCTTGTGGGCCGTGTGTTCCCACAGGGATGGGAGAAACCTCCAGTACCAAACCTGGGGTGGACTCAGATGTCCAGTGGGAGACATCCTCCAAAAATGTCTCCAAAGGCCAAAGACAGAGTTTCAGCCACCTTTCTTCCTTCCCCTTCCCACAGGATGGTGGCTGGGAGAACTTGAGCCTCAAGAGGCCACTGAGCTTGGACACAAGCCTGGAACACCATCACCCTGGAGGTCCCGGGTCACTCCCTGGGGCTGGGAGCACCCAAACACTCGGGCTCAGGGCTGGAAACCAGGGCTGTGGTTGCCCAGCGGCGCAGGAACAGGAACTCGCTGGGCTCTGTGCTGCACAAACCCCATGGTTTGCATGGCCCTGGAAAATTAACTTTCTTTTTCAGGATGTGAAAGGAGACCACGAGACTGAGGTCCCACGGCTTCCCCCCCAGGATGAGAGCAGCAAGCTGATCAAACTGACAGTTTGGGGAGGCAGAGGGAGGTGAAGGCTGGGATCCCACACGCCTCTCATGGGACAGTTCCTGCAATGCCATCGAGCAGTGTCCTCATCCTCCAGCTCAGGCTGCCCAAACGCCCGGGGTTTGAAATCACAGAATCCCAGAATGGTTTGGGTTGAAAAGGATCTTAAAGCCCATCTCATTCCATCCCCCTGCCATGGGCAGGGACACCTTCCACTAGCCCAGGTTGCTCCAAGCCCTGTCCAACCTGGCCTTGGACATTTCCAGGGATGAGGCAGCCACGGCTTCTCTGGGCAACCTGTGTCAGGGCCTCCCCACCCTCACAGCCAGGAATTCCTTCCCAATATCCCATCTATCCCTGTCCTGACCCATGGCCCTACAAGGTGGGAGGCAGGAGTAGTGGGATGGGAGCCCCTGGATGTGTTTTCTCATCACCAAGCGGGGGTGTGACAGTGTCACTGAGCTGTTTGCTCCCCGGGTGAGGCTCAGGAAGTGGCACAACGGCGGCAGCCACAGCCTGGGAGTGGCTGCTCCCACAAAATCAACGGGAGACACCGTTTAACGGAGCTGTTTGCTGTTTGCCTCCCTCCACCGCAGCCAGCAGGAGGGAGCGGATCCTCTGGAATAAAAGCCATTTTCCAACACTCTCTCTTAACACTGCAGGCAAGAAGCATCATTTTCCAAGAGGAAAACCCATTTGTCCAGGATCACATGCCACGGAAAATGATTACAGAGCTGCAGAGGACAGACTTTCCCAAGTGGAGCCACCAGTCCCGTGGGATTGTGTGGGTGCAGGTCCTGCTCCCACACAGTCCCAGGGGGCTCTGCAGCAGCACTGGGAATTGCTCATGGATGGATGGATTGGGACACCGGCACTTGCTGCGCCAGCTGCATGGTATTCCAAGCTTTTCTTAGGAAAGGGAAAAAATAATGATGGAGCATCGCAGGCCCTGCACTTTCTGAGCCGTGTCGTGACTGGTATCGCGACAAGAAGCCACCAGTGGTTTATGCAGCTGCCACCACACACTGAGCTCCCTCCCGGACCGCGCGCACGCGCCGTGGATCCGAGGGGAAGTGGAAAAGCTACGCCGGCTGTCACAGCAAAGGGTGAGCAGCCCAGGAAAGCCCCAGCAGGGCCACGGGATGGTGGCACTGCCATTACTGTCACAGAGACACGGGTGACACCAGAGAGACCAATCCAAGCCACCCGCCAAGGCTGTGCGAGGCGATGCCGCCCCGGCACAGGAGCACCACAGGTCTCCCGGGAAAAATCACCTCCACACCCACATCCCACACGCTTTCCCATCACTGGAGCTGGTGTCGAAACCATTCCAGAAAATCATCCATGATTTAAGTATGACTCCAGGCAAATGCCCCCGTGTCCCAAACGTCTCTGCCTGTGGCACCAAACAGGCTCCCACAGCAGCAGCACGGGGAGGTTTCCTGCTCTCCCTTGTGAGGCTGTAACCAAATTTTGGCAAGATGAAGCACAGGATGGGTATCCAGCTTGGATGTGGCGGCTTTGGTGCTGCCAGTTCTCACCACGGCCAGCCTGGAAGCAGCTGCACACCCTGGGATGCACTCTCCTGTGTGGAGAGAGCTGGACAGATTTGGGCTGGCAGGAGGGGCTGAACAGAGCCTGAGTCCAGCAAAGCCAGATCTTGCTGAAGAGCCCCTGTGTCTAATGGAACCAAAACACCCCGTCTCTCCAAGGAAACAGGACAAAAAGCCAACAGGGACAAACCAAACAGGTGAGGGAGCAGAGAGGTCACCAAGAAGGACTAGCACTTCCCTCACATCCTGTTTTCCGCGAGAACCCCAACATCCTCTCCTAGTTTAGAGCAGGCACCACCAGCCTGCCCAGACACGGTGGAGCTGAGCCGCAGTAGGATCCCATCCCCTTTTCCAAAAGCCCTTTTTTGTCCCCGAAAAGCAGCAGCCATGTCACGTGGTGGCCCCTCCCTGCTGCCCACGTTAGTGGCAGTTCCCTCCCCACAGATCAGCAGAAGTGGTTGGGTTGTACATCCCCCTCACCCGGTGACAGGAGGTGACACGGGGGGGTGACAGGGCCCAGCCCCCCTCCCACGAGGTCCTTGTCACCAACCAGGGACAGTCACAACCTGAGAGCTGAGGGCACAGAGCAGCAGCCAACGAGGAAGAGAAAGCACAACTTCCTCCCTTTTTCTTCTGAGCAAGAGATCCCAGCCCTGTGCAAAAGGCAGTGCGGAAACTGCACATCCTGTAGGTAAAATAGTTACTCCACCAGCTCCAAAATCTTGGGAAAGGCTGGTCCCCCCTTTATCATCCTCAGCACCTGGCCCAGTGGGACACCATCCCCCCTAGCACCGGGATTTGGGGCACACTGGACAATGCTTTTGGAACAAGAGCTTCCAGCCGGGAAGCCACGTTGGTCTGAACACGCCGGTAAATCCCTTCCTGCAGGCCACTGGGTAATTAAGGAGCTCTTCTCACAACAAGGTAACAAATAACACGTGTGGTTTGACAAATTACATTCTCACCCTCGCTAATCGTCGCTGCCGCACTCGGCAAGCCAGGACAGTGTCTCAGGATGTGTGGAGTCTGCAAGGAATGCTCCTACTGGAGAGAAAGGGAGCCTGAGATTGGGGCAGGTGCAGAAAACACCTGGGAACCCGCAAAACTCCTCCCAACCCACCAGTTTTTTGGAGAAAACCCCGTAACTGCGCCGAGCAGCACCTCTGTCGCAGCCCCAACTTCCACAGCTGCGACAGAGAAGCGAGAATTCCTTTGAAATGACACCTCGGAGTCACCACTGTGCTGCGAGAGGCAGCGTGGTGAGAACACCGAGAGCCACGGCGACCCTGCGCTCCAGAACAACGGGAAGGTGTCAAAGCTGAGCTGCAGAGCTTTCCACCGAAGAGTGCAGGTGGGAACAAAAGGCACAAGGATTTCACACAGGTGTGGTGTGTGCGTGCAGGAGCCACCACCACGACAGCCCCAGCTCCTGGGACGAGACTCCCAGGAGCTCTGCAGGAATGACACAGGATGAAAGAACAACCCACCATCCGAGACCCATCCCGGTGCAGAAGTTTTATTGACTGGCCCAGTTCTGGGTGTGGTGCCCTCGGATCTGCTCGGCCAGCACTCGGCAGCGCTGCCCCAACAAGCCCAGTAGAGGTACCAGAACACACATCCTGGGCTGCTCCAGGTGAAGCTCCAGTCCCATTTCCTGCCTTCCTCAGCCCACAGGCAGGGCCAGCCCACATCTGTCCTGCAGGAGATCTCAGCTGCTGAGCCCACCCCTGGTGCCTCGTGCCAAGTCCACCAGGGAGAAGCTGTTTGGTGTGGATGAGTCACCAACCACACCGGAGACAGTCCCTCTGTGGTGTTATCCCACCCCCTTCTCCCTCTTCTCCAGAGCTCTGGCCAGAGGACACATCCTGTGGTCAAAGGCCTCACGATGGAAAATTCTGTGAAGAGATTTTTACAAAAATCATGGATTTATAAGCACTGAACCCACGTGTTGTGTCAGCACAATATGCAAAGTATTTTCTTTGTGCTTCATTAATTAACCCCAAAATGATCAAACGAGCCCTGGGAGATGCAGAGCACCACAGTGCCAAAAACATGGAACAAGATGATCTTTAAGGTCCCTTCCAACCCAAACCATTCTGGGATTCTGGGATTCTCTGGACCCACCGTTTGCCTCCTGTGGATGTTCATGATGTGGATGTCTTCGCTGCGATACTCCTCGTCGTGCTTATCCAGGGGAATTTTTTCCAGCTCGAAGTCCATCTGAAGCAGCTGGTTGTCCAAGAACACACAGAATGATTCCACAAAGGCCTCTACAACCATCCAAGCCATTTTTCCCACCCCGTGTAGCACATTCACCCTTGGTTTAACCACCCCAGCACCAATTCAAAGCTACCACACCTTGTAACACTTCAGAAGAATCTATATAAAGCTTGTGCTAAAACATTGGGGGGGGATTTAAAAGATGTGTGGATGTGGCACTTGGGGACATGGGTTAATGGTGGCCTTGGCAGTGCTGGGGGAACGAATGGACTTGACGATCTCAGAGGACTTTTCCAACCTTAACAATTCTGTGGTTCCAAGATTTTGCTTCCCCCAATCTCTGAAGCGCTAAGCCAAACCACAGCACCTGCCTCTGCCTGCCAACCCTCTCAAGTGGAAGAGAGGGGAAAAAACAGGCTAAACCACCCCACCGTGGGCTCTGGGACACGCTCAGATTAACTGGGCTGCACCTGGCAAGCCAAGGAAGGAAATAAATCACCAAAAAAAAGCAGAAAATCAGCCAGAAACACCCACACCTGTTGTTTGTTGTGGGAGTGGCACCTCAGCAGAGCCGAGCCCAGCCCTCCTCACAGCCAGGGCCCCACAAGGGTGAGAGGCACAGCTAATTATGAAACAGGTGCTTTTAGTAACACACACAAATCAACCTGGCATTCGCACCATTCCCCTTTTCATTGTAGTATTATTATTATTATTACTACTACTACTGCATATAATGCTTTTCAACAGCCATCACAGGTGCACAGTTAAATCTGCACTGACCACCATCCCACACCTGGGAGGGATCCAGGTGTTCCCCCTGTTTCTTTCCTTTGCCTGCACACGTGACACAGCTGGAACATTTAATTAAATCACCTCAGTAGAGGACAACAATTTTTCCAAGAGCAGCTCCATCACTCAGAAGAGAGTGCTGAGTTCCTGAGTGAAACTCTCTGTATTTTCCCTCTGCTTTCAACGAAACAGCCTGAAAGAAAATGTGCTAAAAACCACTTACTTCAAAGTATTTTCTCTCGATTTCAGGGTTCTTCCCCATGGTTCTTTGCTCGTAGCAGCACAAGACACACGTGTCAGGGCCAGTGAGGTCCTTCAGCGTCTTCAGCAACGGCTCCAACGACTGCCCAAAAGAGGTTAAACATTTCCCACTTGGATTTCAAGTTCATTTCCCTGGAACGATACCCTCCAGCTAAAGTCTTCACCCAAGAGAGAAATTCCCAGTTTTGCTTTGCAGGGAGTTATTTTTAGTGCTTTAACTGGGACGAGAAGAACATGGGGGCAAGCTGGGAAGCAGAGGAGAAAGGGAGACTGCACAGGAGAAGAGTTTCACAGACTGACCAAGAAAACTGAACTAGAACCAAAGCCAAACCCATCCCACCCTGCTGAGCGGGCATTTCCTTGAGGCACAACAGTTATTTCCTGACATGTTTCAAAAGTGAGAGTTTTCTCAGTTATTCTTGGAATATGGCTCAGATCCAGGCCACTGCGTATGGAAACGGGACCAACATGCAGGGAGTCAATGCCAGGGGCTGGTAAAACCATTGGAAGGGCACTGGGACATGGGGTTCTTCGGGTCATTTCCCTTTTCCTGCAGCTTCTCTTAGCTCTCCACGTACATCCCACAGAACTCCAACTGAGGACATGGGTCAGACTACAACAACCACAAAGCTGAAGCATGATTTCTACTCTTGCCTTCCCAAGGGAAGCACGAGGAGAACCCAAACTGAGCAGATGTGGCACTTTCACATTTCATTTACCAGTGACTTCAACAGTTCACAGTGTTTTTTGCCTTACACTTCATTCCAAATGTAAAAAAAAAAAAGGGGGAGGAATAAACATTAAATTCGGGGTTTAACATAAAGTCCCTGGTTGAAACTCAAATGGCCCTGAATCTATCAAAAATGCCTTTTTCAGTCTTGTTCTATGTATTCCTCAAAATCACAGGGACCAAGGCACACTATTTATTTGGACACTTCTCATACTAAACACACTGAATCCATCCCCCCTTCCCAAGGAACCTTTCCTTAGGGGTTTTGCAAAGTCCTCTTTACCTCCTCATAGTAAATGCAATCAGCCATGAGTATATAATCGGGGGGAGGCTGAAATTCTGTTACATCTTCTCCCCTAAAAAGAACAAACAAGAAAAAAAAAACCAAACCAACAAAAAGTGAAAACAAGCTTCAGCAACAACACATACAACTAAAGGACTGAGTATAAAATTAACTGTGCTTTCAAATTAAGCATCCCTTAACACAGTGATGTTTTGAAGTATATATAGCAATTTAACAAAGCCAGTACAGAATTACAGAACCACAGAACAAATAGAAACATGGTTTGGGTTGGAAGGGACCTTAAAGATCATCCAGTCCCACCTCCTGCCATGGGCAGGGACATCTTCCACCATCCCAGGTTGCTCCAAGCCCCATCCAACCTGGCCTTGGACACTTCCAGGGATCCAGGGGCAGCCACAGCTTCTGTGGGCAACCTGTGCCAAGGCCTCACCATCCTCACAGGGAAGAATTTTTTTCCTAGTATCTAATCTAAATCAACTCTCTTTCAATTCTAGCCCCGTTAAAGCCGAACAGAGACATTAAAGGTTCATACAAACCATTTCAGTACCTTGGCTCGGACTGACCCTGTGACCAGGTGCTTGTTGTTCTCTATATTCACCATCAGCAGCTCCTGCAGCTCCTCGAGGTCCGTGACCGTCACGTTCGCCCTGTAACACAGACACGGGGTCAGGGACCAACACAACGGCACCGGGCCGCCAAGGGTGTTTAAAAGAGGCGTTTAAAGGCACGCAAAGGCCCTGAGGGAGGTGGCGGCGCGGCTCCCCCTCACCCCAGCGTGGCTGCCATGATGCCGACGGCGCCGGTGCCCGCGCCCAGCTCCAGGACGTGGCGGCGGGCGAGGGGACAGGCGCCGGTCTCCAGGAACTTGGCGAGGACCAGCGCGGCGTCCCACACCACGGAGCCCACCCCTCCGGCCGCCCGCTGCTCCAGCCGCAGCGCCGGCCCGGCCCGCCGCTCCAGCTCCCGCACGAAGCCGGCCATGGCCGCGGCTCTGAGGCGGCGCGGCCCCTCCTCATCCTCCTCCTCCTTCCCCTGAGGGCAGGAAATGGCGGGCGGGCGCCGCGCCCTCCCCTCAGCGCGCCCGCCGGGGGGGGTTTGCCACCGAACAGGGCATATGTCTTTAAATCACTTTATGCTTCTTTATATCAGCTCATGCAGCAGAGGCGGGGAGTCGTCGAGAGGAGATTTAAACCCGTGAAATAGATAAAGCGATGACGGGCAGCCTCTGGAGGCGGGGAGGTCCGTGTGTTAGGAAAGCAAATTATAAAGTTAAGGGGCCTGACGAGCTGCGGCGCTCGTGGAGCTGGGAGAGGAATCCGCTGTTGGGGACTGAACGCCAGGAAATGCACACAATATTATATTAAAAAAAAATTACAAAGCACAAAGACGCGTTACAGAAATCAGAGATGCCCTGTCTAGATGCCCTAATAAAAAGACTTAAATTGTGGATTAATTAGCATGAGAAACAAGAAATCGATACCAATAAAAGACAGAGTACTAATTAACAAGAGAACTATGTAACTTGTAGCCAATAAACACTAATTCCTTTGTTTGCTAAACTATATTAGCAGGGAAAGGTTTCGATAGCGTGTGTGTTATGTGGAGCGATCCCCATGTACCTTCGATGTTCAGTAAAGCAATGCCGACTTTCTAACCTAACAAACTGGTTAGAGAGTTTATTTTCCGGTTTTCAGTGACAGCTCCATGGTCTTGGAGGCTTTTCCAACTGAAATGATTCCATGAATCCACCACCCGTGTCCCGGAGGCAACACAAGCCCCCCAGACCCCGCTCCCTCACCCCTCCTGACCAACTCCAACCCGACTCTTGCTGAAGCTGCTTTTGCTAGAAATCCTCCTCATACAACTTACAGAAAGGTTTTATTAAACCTGCAAAAGGGTTTTAAGAAACCTACAGAAAGGTTTTTAATAACCTTACAAGAAGGTTTTAATAAAGCAGCTGAATATGATGCGTTGATTGCACGTAGACATTTTGAAGTGCAAAGGCTTTTGATTTTTTTTTTCTCCCCCCGGATATGTGGAAAGATTTTATTACTTTATTTCTTCACATTTCTTTTAGACTGAGGAAAGACCTCGTGGCTATCTGGAGCTTCCTCATGAGGGGAGGCCGATCTCTTCTCTGTGTCCCAATGACAGGACCCAAGGGAATGGCTGGAGCTGTGTCAGGGCAGGGTCGGGTTGGATTTTAGGGAAAGGTTCTTCCCCCAGAGGGTGGATGGCACTGCCCAGGCTCCCCAGGGCAGTGGACACGGCCCCAAGGCTGCCAGAGCTCCAGGAGGGTTTGGACAATGCTCTCAGGGACAGGGTGGGATTGTTGGGGTGTCCTGGGCAGGGCCAGGGGTTGGACTGGATGATCCTTGTGGATCCCTTCCAACTCAGGGAATTCTGTGATTCTAGAACACTCACTCCCTGCATTTCCAAGGGATTCTGAATGGTATATTCAGACTTGTGGTGGAAAATTGTAAATCTGGGAAAAAAAAACATAAGAAACGGTTCCTTTTGCCCCTCCTGTTTTTTCATCTGCTTAGCAGTGCCATAGCACCCAAATTATTCCAGCTCCAGAGCAGACAAAAGTGCTGAAATTCTGGAACTCAAAATAGGATCACTGAAAACAACTACAAAGATGTTTCTTTTGCTATTAGATGCCTTCGCATTCCATCTGTTTATCTGTGCTTTTCTGAAAGAACTGCCTTTTCCCACACAAGCCAACTTCAAACCAAAGCTTGACATTTTTCCCCTCTGGCATTTTTTTGTTGTTCTTTTTACCTATCCCTCTAATTATGAAGTAACTGAAAAGTTAATTTATTGCTCTCTTGGCATTCCTTGAACCGTGCTGGTGGGAATCTGACCGCGTTTGACCACTTCCATGGCCATGTTATGATATGTTTTCCTATGGGATATTGAAAATGGTTCTGGCATAAGCACTTTTACAGGAAGGCATAAAGCTGACACCTATATATTCTAAAATTTGGGGAAGAATTTTTTCCTCTTCCACAACACACACAAGTGTTAAAAAAATATTTTTCTCATTCTTTAGCAGTAGCTAAATTCAAAAGAGTTAATGCAAAGAACTAGGCAACGAATTTTACTCGGTCGAGGCATCATCTGTTTCCTACCTGCACTCCCAGTTCATGCATCTCAAGTTTGGGACTTCTTGAACCTTATTTTTTCAAAATGAAGCAGCTCTGCTATAAAAAGTTGCATGAATAGATGCCCTCTTTTCTTCCTCAGGAAAGGAACACGAAGGGGACAGGCATTTGGAGAAGACTGTCCAAGAGATAGATGGCAAAATGCATCTTCCCAGGAGAAAATGGTGGGATTCTTGGGGTGGTCCTGTGCAGGGCCAGGATTTGGACTCGATGATCCTGGTTGGGTCCCTTCTAACTCAGGATGTTTCTAATTAACATCCCTCCCCGGACATATCTCCTCTCCTTTTCCAGAGGGAACGGGCAAGACGGTGGGAGCAATACAGGCAGGATGATGAGAACCTGGAGTGTGACTTGGAAGCCTGGGATGGGCCCAGCTGCCAAAGATTAAAGGACAGCCAAAGCTGAGACCAGCAGCATGGAAAACTGGGGCATTCTGTATTGTCCAAAATGCAATTCCCAACCTTGTCCTTACAAGGAACACGCACCGCTCAAACTCTTAAAAATTAAGACTGGGGTGATTTATTAATCTTGTTAAGAACTCTGATACAAAGCACAGTAAAAGGCCACAGACCAGTAAATAAAATGTGGCTTCTGAAGGCCACTTTATAAATGCTGCTACAGTACTACCAGTAAAACAGACTCACTCTCGCACCAGTTCAAACACGGCGTTCGACTGGCAAAGAAAAGTTCCATTCACTTATCAGTTCAAAAAGTTTAATAAAGCTTTTAAGTGTTTGCTGGTTTAAATGCTACCAATTTCCAAAATGGATTCACGATTAAGTTAAGTGTACATCAACAGAAAAGTTGTTAGGTTTGGAAGGCAAGACTGTTCCCAAGCCAGAGGAAACGCTTCTGACTGGATACGATCACAGGAGTAGCAACTGTATTATAGGCCTCAAAGTCAACTTCAATTTATACAGGTGATTAGAATATATGTAAATATACAATATAAACAATTGTACAGACACAGGCATAGTTTTGTTCTCCACAACAGTAGATAAATTCTTTAGCTTAAGACACCTTCGCCTACCAAAATAAAAAGGCACATCTGAACAGGATGTACTTGGGATCCTTCCCAATATCCCAGATGGGTACTCCTTGTTCATCCTTTCTCCAAATAACCAAGGCCAACTGAATATTTTGGTATTTAGATTTCAACCTAGTTTTTGTCTTCAGCAGCAAATCAATGGCGATTAAGACACGGCATGAAAATATCCCAGAACAGGAGCTGTCACTCAGGAACCTCCAGGCTTAGCCAGAGGTTTCAAATCGGTGACACTTCATATCCTCATGTTGTTGAGCGTCCCATGGTTGGGTTTTTTAACTAAAAAAAAAAGGCCACTGGTGCTCAAATTTTTTTGAAAAAAACTCCACAGACGCACCTTTTTTTTTTTTGGCTCAGTGCAATTCAGTGATGTCAGTTTAAAATTCGTTTAGTGTATTTTACAGTGCAAAAGGTCTATTTTTGTGTCCTGGCAGAACTGTCGGCACTGAGGATGTGAACCAAGGCAATGCTGCTGCTCACCTGAGGGTAATGCTGCCCAACCACACAGGCTGGAGTGTTTGTGTGTGTGTCATCTGAATTTTTTCCAATTTAAACCTTTTTTTTTTTTTTTTTTTTGATCAGCAGCACTTTAAGAGCATAATTTGTGAAAATACTAAAATACACCGCCTTTTTTTTTCTTTTTGAATAAATTAAAAAAAAAAAAAAAAAAGAAAAAAAGAGGAAACTTTACAAATACTATTCCAGTGTCAATGACTACTATGGCAAAGGTCATTGAGGAGTTTCTGCATTTTCTAGCAAAGACAGTCTGTGCAAAGGAGGGTGGGAGAGCTCCCTTTTGTAAGTCTTTGGTGGCAGTTTTGGTAGCTGAGGGCTGGAGTTGTGCCGGGGCGGGACGGGGGGCACGGGCGGGTGCACCAGGTTGTTGTGACTCGCGCTGGTCACGCAGCAGCGGCGCAGGACCCGGGGAGAGGGGGTGCTGGGAGGGGTGCCCGGGGAGCTGGGGCCCGTGCCAGCCTCCCGCAGCCACTCGGGATCCCGGTGGAAGCGTCCCAGCGGCGGCGGCTGCAGGCTCAGCGGGCAGTTGATGAAGTGCTCGGGCGGCCGGAGAGGCACCGGCGGGGGAGTGTCGGGAAGAGGGTCCCGGGGGGGTGGAGGAGGAGGGCTGTGCAGAGGCTGGTCCAGGGGGTTGGTGTAAGCAGGAGCACGAGGCTGGATCTTTGGAGGCGGCGGCTGCCGGGGTGGGATTGCCGGAGGGTCGTCATCCGACTTTAAGTTTCCCTGCAGCGGAAAAGGCATTGTGAGAAATGGACATCAAGGAATCATGGAACAGTTTGGGTTGGAAAGGATCTTGAAGGTCATCTAGTTCCACCCCCCTGCCATGGGCAGGGACACCTTCCACTAGACCAGGTTGCCCTCAAGCGCCATCCAGTGTGTCCTTGGACACTTCCAGGGATCCAGAGGCAGCCACAGCTTCTCTGGGCAACCTGGGCCAGGGCCTCCCCACCCTCCCAGCCAAAACTTCCTTCCCCACATCCCATCTAACCCTGCCCTCTGGCAGCTTAAGGCCATTCCCCCTTGTCCAAGTGTTTAAAGAGCAAATCTGACAGATGCAGAATTCTCCTGATCTCTGCTACTGGTGCTGTCAGAAACAGGACAGCCCGTTGATCCAAACAGGACAACTGTGTTCCTGAAATTCTTAAAGAGTTTGGACACTGGGAACATAAAACTTGGAAAGGGCAACTGCAGCTCTGCATCTCAAAGTCTTTTAGATTGACAGAATCCCATCAGCTCGATGGCTGGACTCAACAGTCTTCAAGGTCTTTTCCAACCTAAATCATTCTGGATGATCCCTGATTTATCATCCAAGTTATTCAATCTAGGACAGAAATACCTTAGCATTAGAAGCATCCTGATCCATCTTTTTTCGTGGAGGAAGCGGAGGAGGGTTCTGAGGCTCATCACTCAGTTTGGGAAAGCTCCCCCAGGAGCTGAAGAAAGTCTCTGGAGAGGGAAAAGCAGATCTTTTACTGCTTGTGCAATATCTGAGGAACATATTCTGGAATATTAAGCCAAACTCGAAGCAACTCAGACAAGCAGATCTTTGTGCTCCACAGCAACATGAACCAGTAACTTCAGCAGCACGAAGTTCTTTAATTCACTGCTTTAATCAGATCTAGGTCTCTCAAAGTGTTCTCCTATTTCCAGAATCAAAGATATGCATCGACAATCAGCAGGCAATGCTGAAGGACAGGAAAATAAATCAAGTGAACTCCAAGTGAGTTTTTACAGAGGGGGAAAAATATCCTCAAATTAAGAAACAACACAACCTGCACTGGTGGCTTTTGTCACACCTTTGTTATTTCTCTCAGAAATGCCCAGAGCTGTGTGCCAATCCTTCAGGCACTTGTGCTCTCCAGTTGGAAATTTTAATCGCATTATGAAAAAAATAGATGTGGATTAAGCAAAAAGAGCAGCTGAAAACACGGGCGAATGCAGGATATCCCTCACAGGTGTGGTACAAAAGGAGCTGCTTCTTGCCCAGCAACAGAAGAGCTGTTTTCACTAAGTGGAATTAGGAAATTATCAAGTTGCTTCATTTGCAGCATTAGACAAACAGAACAATCATGAAGGACATCCAAAATAGAAGCAAAATCACGCAAGAGCCAGGAGATAAAAAACCTAAACCCCACCAAAACTAAACCAGGCAGTTTCTAGACTTTACATTCCCCACTGGACATCTGACCTACAAAGAACCCCACTGAATGCAGCCCACATTTTCATCCCAGATTTCAGATTTTCATTCCCATTCAGCTCTCCTGAACCCAGGAGAGGCAGAGTTAAATATTTAACAGAGTTCCACTACTCACTCGACTGAGGCAAACTCACGGGAGCGAAGATGCTGTTGTTACCTGTGGGGGGAAAAAACCGGATTAAAGACCTTCCAGACAGAACATCTGCACGTAAAGAAAGCTTCAGTGACCTCAGAGATCACAAAAATCTCCAAGTTTATCTCCTGCCAAAGTGAATTAAAATTTCCTGCGTAAAACATTCCCGAACTACCGATTTTAAGTTACGGTGGGAATTAACTTCACTACTCTAAATTTTGCAACTTTTTTGTTTTAAAGGACTAAATCTGGGGAGCCTGAGGGACAGCAACAACGATTCTTAGAACGTATTTACCGTAAGAACTGTTGAGATCTATGTCTGAGAACACGCTGAACTCCGAAGTCGCCGACACCGGTGGCGTAGACGGGGTGTTGGGAGAGGTGGGTGCCGAAACTGTGGATTCATGTTCCGCCTCAGTGATCCTACTGAAGCTTATCTTGCTGGGCTCCTTTTCGAGTGGCAGTGGATGACTCCTCAAGGTGCCAGAGGTGGAGCCGTGTCTGCCCGTGTTGGGCCTTATCCCGGGGGATTTCAAGGGGTACGTTGTTCTCCTAGGCTGCAGACAGTGAAGCTGTTAGCACTGCTGACATTCCAGACAGCAACATTCCCAAGGCTCTGGGAGATATTTTAAACAGTATTTATCAAATACACCCTAAGGAGCTGTACAGGGACAACTGTTGTGAGGTACAGTGTTATTTATACAGCAGGAGTTTACTGGGATGTTACGGGTGCAACTTAATAAATCTTTTTTTCCCAGCTTAATTTTAGGGTTTTTTTCCACAACTATGAAAACTGAAGAGTCCAGTTTCTGATGCCGAGCAGGACAAAACGCA